AAAAAAAATCTACCGCCAACTTCACTTCTTGTAACTGACAAAACATATACCTGTTATTTTTTCATAGCGAGCTCCTTCTTTAGTTATGTTTATTCTTAGTATTTTCTTATACCACTTTCAATTAATATGAAATCAATACACAAAATTACAAAATATTTTTAGTTTCTACATTTAAAGCTTTACTTGAAATAGTCATAACATTTCTGCCATTTCAAAGTGCTTAGAAATCAGTGTGTCTAAATCCAAAGGTAAAACCCCACAATCAGAGGCAGATTATGAATTTGTGGGGCCCTGGGCCAGAGCAAGTGGGGCCCCTCCCCACCCTTCCGCCTGCAGTCCCCCCACACACCTCAGCGCTATTGCCATGGGAGAGTAGGATCAGGTCACAGGAGCTTGCTCCATTCCGCCCAACCCTCCTGCCAGGGGAAGCCCCCGCACCCTAACTCCGCTCCCTGGTAGGCAGAGCAGATCGGGGCATGCCCAATTGACCAGGGCCCCCCAATTGACCAGGGCCTCTGGCCACAGGCCCAGCTGGCCCAGGGGCTAATCCTCCACTGCTCACAATAAAGATTAGTTTGAAAATGCTGAACTACAGCAAGTGATCCATCCAGAGAAATGTATTTTATGTACATGCTTAGTGGGAAATCACTGCAAAATAGCAAGGTCCATTCTTTTAAGCGAGGAACTGCGATCTGATCAACAGTCCTTTTACCTTATTATAGTAAAGGGCCTCTTCTGGGGAAAATTCTCGCTTAAAATCTCCTCCGGCAGCACAATGTGCTTGAGCACAAATTCGCATCAATCTTCCAGTGTTACATAAAAGAAGAGCAGAATTGGTCGCATCATCAATTGACTCAAAGTTATGAATCCCTTCTTCAAAGCAAGAGAAGCTTTTCTTCCACAGTTGCTGCTCTGCTGTAGATACACTTTTGCTCACTAGATCAAAGGAAAAAGAGGTCTTACAATTTAATTCAAGCTTCTTAAAAGATTTTTAAACCATCAACATCTATATTAAATTATTGTTCTCATGTTTCTATATAGTGTTAAATTCCAGAAAAGCATACAAGTCAAGACTGAAGATTTAATAGTTCACCAAGAGTGCTCGGTCTTGGCCAGAGCAAAGGAAAACTTAATCCATTATCTGTTGGCAACTAGCGATGATGTATCCTTTGTGGTTAGTGTCAAAGAGGTTTAAATTTTGAATAAGCCAACAAACGGTACCCCGAACTATATTGCTGAAAACGGTCAGTGCCTTCCGATAACATTAAGTCAAAAACCACTGAAAGTTAACAGAGAGCTGGTAAGACAAAGATCATTAAAAAGACAATTAATTTACTCAATTACCTCAAAGATACTTACAGTAGGAAAGACATAGTAAGTAGATAAAAATAACTCAGATACTATGCTATGAAGTAACCATCAGTAAATTGTTTAATAATCAATTGCTTAAAGTTTACCATTAAGGTTCGATTTCGGCTAAATACTATTCTGTTAAAGAAAAAGAAAGGACAGAAAAGTAATCATCAAATCAGAAATTTGGCAATAATATCCTACAATAATAGCCTGACATTTTGGGGGCATTTTTGTGAGGAGAATTGTGCTAGTATTCTCTTATTTTTTCCAGGGAATTATAACTACTATAAAGATTCTCCAGAGTCTTATATTCCATATTTTAGTACAGACTAAGGTGTTCACATTTAAGTTTGAGTACCCTGAAAAACACTGTTTATAATGGAAGCACTAATATACCATTAACTCCAGGAGAGAGTATCTGTTACAAAGAAGTTCTTTGAAATTCCCTTTATTCCTGGAAAGGAGAGTTCAGGAGGCCTCTCTCAAACACTGCTGCTGAAAATGATAATCACTGTTACACTGATGTAAACCTTTGAATAGAATAGTGTATGCAACAAGTGCAAAAAAAAAGAAATACGTACCCACTCTCTCAGTCTGCACTGCAGCAGCCTGGTTCATGTAAAATACTCCAATTTCATTTCTGATGTTACCCATCCTCTTCAGGACTTGTGTATGCTGCTCTGGATTTTGTTTTTTTAAGTTACTAAAAAGCAAGATTTCATTAGCTGCCTCATAGCATTTGCAGCTAACTGAAAGCTGGCATTCCAAGTCTGTAGACAAGTCAGTGGCCCACGCAAATACTGGAAAACAAACAGCAAAAACTGCATGTCAATTATAAATTCTTTCTAAACAAATTTTATTTATTTTAGGGACTATGAAAAAAGTGTAGTAGTAAAGGTTTGATAAAATGACTGAGTTGTGCCCAAAAATCAAAGGGGTTCCACAGAGTCTAAAGAAAGGCAGAATTTGGCCATTACTTGAAAGATGTAAAGAATTTTTTTAAAAAGAAACTCTAGATATATCTAAAGTACATGATTTTATCATATACTCTCCAGAAAAGTCATATTCCTAAAAAGCTATTTTAATTTCTATGTTCAGCTTTCTTTTTGACAAGAAAGAAATAGCACCAAAGCACCAAAAGGTTCTCCCACCCCCAGAAGTGATATACTATACTGTTTTGCCAAAATCTGAGGAAACACTGTGGGATAAGTATTGGCTGACAGGACCACACTAATTCAGCCAAATATATTATTATTTTGATGTTATACCTTGACAGCTGGATTCTCTATGAAGACTGTGCAATATTTCATGATCTTCTTTTGTTTGGTAATTATATTCTTCAAGATACGCAGCTCTGTTATTTGCATTCTGGGCAAGCATTAGCTGGATATCACCACAAAGGGTTAAACATTGACAAAGAAACAGTAGCACTTCAGCAGGCATATTGGTGCAGAGGCAGCAGTAAGTATCTGGTAGGGGGAAAAACCCCAAAAAGCAAAATTAAGCACTAAAAGACTTGAGACATGTAGAATCCAAATTTAACTATTCGTAGAAGAGTGACCATGTAAGACTGGTGACATTTTACACAACAAGTTCTGACCCCTGTATGTAGTCCGAGTCAGATACTACTTTTTATCCCTGTTAACACTGCACAGCAATTACAGATAAGGAAGATGGACTGAAATCTATCCCTGCTCATACAGAACTGTTAACTAAGCTACAAATGCAAGATCTAAACCTTCCCTCAGTTATAACTGTGTAAAACCACTGAAGACAATAGGATTTGGCCTGCAGAATTTTTATTACTAATGATGATGTATGAACCAGGAAGAAGAGTTTGACTTTCAGATCTCAGACTGATTTTCTAGGGATGACAATTAGAAACTATTCCCCTCACATATTTTTACTAACAAATAGAGCTTGATCACAATTCATTGAAAGACAATGAAGATGGCAAATCGCAATGCACTTTTTTTTTTAAAAACAGAATAGAATTTCACTTTAAAGCCATTATATTTTCTGATTATTCAAACTCAGTGTTATAACCAGGAAACAGAATCAGAATATTCTCCATCATTCTACTCAAAGCCTCAGTATTAGTTGGGGACGCACTTCACTCTATGGGTATCTACTTAAAGTTTCTGAGTGAATATAGCACTTCTGAAAATGAGGAATGTATAACAATAGCTCAAGCCAAGTATAATGAATAAAGGTGCTATTTTAGCTTTTCCACACATTCCAGGCACCAGACTTCAAGTCCCAGTCTATACATCGAGTTCTGTCATCTATACGCTGAGTCCTGCCCCTCTGCCTTCAAAGAGGAACTGCCACTTGTGCAAATTGTGATAATTTTGTAATGGGGACAAAGGGAATGAGACAGAAGAAACCTATGATCCAAACTAAAAGGCTTCCCTGTGTCCAACCTGCCCAAGCCAGTTCTTTACTATAGTCTATTTGTTAAAAGCATGGGATTTATGTGCCAATTCAGTCCTCAGATGCCACAGACTTTCAATGTGTGGCAGAAGTATTTGCCAGTTTGTGTATGTGCACTGTTTAAGAAGAAACTATTCCAGTTACTTACCATGGCACTGTAAAGCTAATTTAATGTATCGTAATGCTCTTCCATATTTCTGAAGACTCATAGCAGCATCAGAAAGAACATAATAAGCCTTCGATGACTTCAGAATCAGCTGGAGTTTCATTTTATACTGCCAGGATCCAGGAATCATTCCTGATTGACTGGAATGTTTATCCTTTTGAAATGAGCCCACTATAAATACAAAAATAAAATAAGTAAATCTTAAATATAATTCGTAAGAATATGATTTAGTCACAGAGGTCACGGCAGTCACAGATTCTGTGACTTGACTGGAACCACAGCGACTTCTTCAACTTCAGTTGTCAACTGCTGAAACCGGGGCTGGAGCCGGAGCCGGAACTGTGTGCCCCGGCCCCGCAGCTGGGGCTGGAGCCGGATCCACAAATGTGACTTTTTTGGTTTGTACTGAATCCTTACAACCCTAGTATTAGCTCAGAATCGACAAGAGCCAATAAGTGGAGGCTTCCCTGGTTCTGAGATCATCTCCAGCAATGAGGAAATTGTACTGTCCAATTTCTGCCTGGAAGAAGGAACTGTTGAAATCTTCCACACTGTTAGTGCCAAGGCATCCATCGACTCTTCTGATGAGGCTGTTTCCTTGATGCTGGAGTAGCCCTGGTACCAGACAGAATGCGCCACTGCTTGGAGCCAAAGGTCCTGATCCTGGCACGAAAGGCTTCTGTTTCACCAGTTCAGGGGGCTTTGAAGCAGACAAAGATCTACAATGTTCAGGCCAGAGACTCATTTCTGTATAGGAAGGCAGACCCCAGGGTTTGGCTTATAGAACCACATCGTTAAGTCAGCCTGGAGAAGAGCACACCTCTCTTTTTTGGACAAGTATGATACATCATACAGGCAATCTAAACAGTTCAGACACACAGTGCAGTGGATGTCAGCAAAGGTTCTTTTTAGGACATTAAATCTGAGGGAATACTGCTGTTAATCCTGCCTTCCTTCCCCCCCCCCCCCAACTCTTTCTTCATGTATGGGAAAGATTTCAGGAGAAGCATGATACTACACATGTTTTGCGCAACAAACCATAGGTACAATAAAGGGAGAAACTTTGTTTCTCACCTATCTTTGAAATTTCTTGATCTAGTTTAAATTCAATCTCTATTATCCAAACACTAGCTGGTACCCTGAAAGACTTTAGTTCCTTTTGCTGCTTGAAAGGGGAGACTGAAATCAGAGGTACTGCTTAGGTGTTTATCCTAGCTCAGACTGTAATGCAGCTATTTGGTGGTGTGTTTAGTCTTAAATTCTGGACCAATTACTGGAAGGAAAACCCAATATGTCATTTGCAGATCTACAAATCACTGACTTCCAAGTGACACTATCTATTGTAAATCAAAATTGGAGGAGAAATAGTAGACCTTTTCAATGATTATTCATTCAGAAATTGGGAAATTTTAGTATACTTTTTTGGTTTAAGAGTTGACAAAGCTTGGCAATATTATTTTATGTCTTGGAAGCAAAAGTCACTACCTACCTTCATGGCAATAATCTTCTTAGTATTTCATCCACCACGATATAGCTCTTTATAACTAGATTTCAATGTTTAATATATATTCTAAAAAGTTAACTCTTAAGAAGAACATAGAAAAAGAAGCTGCCCTCCACTGAATATACCTTGTCATTTTCAGCTTCCTCCCCCCCCCCCCCCAAATATTTAGCAGCCAATTCAGCTTTCAACTAAACTACTGGATTAATGGAAGGAAACTAACTAAAAATTAAATTTTAATTATGCATCTAAGAACCCCTACATTTGTTTTTTGAATTAGGGTTATAGGACAACTGTCTTATTGCTATTTTACATAGAGCCAGAACACTATAGCAAGGTGCTCCGATACTATGGTGAAGCAGTAAATGCAGGCTATTGTAGCTTTAGTGATTTAAACACACTCAAATAAGACATTTTCATTCAAACACTTCCTACTGTTCTTGCTTAAAAGGCAGAATTATAACTGCAAGGCTAGCAAATAATATCCTGGTTAACATTTTATATGTTGGCAACATGCGCATGTGTAGCACAACAATGAGCATGATGTTGACACTAAAATTATTGCCAAAATCCACAGTCTTATAAAAATAATTTCTCTAAGTGACAAAACCTAACACTGCCAAAAAAAAAAAAATCTGAAGGGGGGCACTACATCACAATCTATGAACAAAATGAAATCCTTATGGAAGCCAGTGGCAAGCCACATCTCAATAAAATGCAGTAACCTTATGTACTTACTATAAAAGGATCTGTAATATGCTAAAAGAATGCCTACTGTCCTGTTTCTTTTCATATTTAAAAGGAAAGGCCTATATTCTCCACTTCTGTTTGTGTGCAATATCCTTTTTTTGCTTTTTCAATGCATGGCGTAATTGATGATTTACAAGTACATTGTTTAGACGATCAAAATAAAATAGCAGCAGTGTGCTGTGCCGGTGAAAAGGTCCTATTTGCAAAACAATTCAGCTTACTTTTGTCTAAAAACAAAGCCATCTGTTTTTCCAGACACTCAGGACCACCACTTGTGGATTCATCTTCGTATTTTAATGGGATTGGGGTGTTGGGGTCGGCTGCAGGAAGGTCACCGTCTTTTTTAATGCTGCTGTCAACAGATTTCAAGCCCTTTAAAAAGAAAAAGCCTTTCATTAAGTATTTACTTGGAAGGTGAACTAAATATAAACATAACAAAACCCACACATTTTGACCAGGACAGAACAGCATTAGGAAACTTACCTCTAGAACATAGCTGAGCACAAGTCTACACCGTTCCTCAGTGTCATGGCAAACAGGAAATGCACAACTAGGCTTAATTAAAAAAAAAAAAAATTTAAGGCGCCAGACCCACTTAAAGAAAAACAAGCAAACTAACTATGAAGCTTTAAAAGATAGACAGCAAAATCCAGTTTATTGGGATACGTTAGACTATTATGAAAGCCATTAATGGAGTATGCTAAACTTCATACTATATCTAGACCACAACATTTCTTTCCTTTACTTCAGCAACTGAAGATACTGTCTCTTCATTGTAGGGTTTAACTAGATTATTTACCTAAACTGACCAAAATTCATAGTCAGCCTGTTTTAGTGACCCAAAAAACTAAAGTAAGGGCCATAGAAGGGTAGCAGCCTTTTTTCCAGAAAAGCAGCCATACAGTGACTGCAGTGCAGCCCCAGACCCTAGAAGGAGGTAGGAGAGGGAGCATGCGGGCAGGTATGTAAATTCTATTTCCTTCCACATAACCCATTACTCTAACTGTGCAAGGAGGGATGAATTCACCCTAACCACCTTTTCTGAATGACAGGAACAATCTCCATTGACCAACTTTTAGTATGGGAGAAAGATGAAGTCCTGCCAATAGATCATCAATCCAATCCCTGCAAATAGAAGTGCAGTACCCTCCAGTAATGAATCTGAGTTTTAGGAAGAAAAATCAATGTAGGGCTTCCACCACCGACAGGGTGCTATATTTTCAGCAGAGGGGCCTTGAGGTACTAAAGCTTGCAGGATATCAACCAGCACAGGTGATAGACAGATTTTGCAGAATATCACTTTTATTTGGCATAGGGACTTATAAGAGAAGTCAACCTTTTTGATATGATATACATGTTGCAGGATAACTAAGCATGAGGCAATCAAGCGCTTCACTGCCACAGATATGGCTTAATTAACTGTCAAGAGGCAAAGTGAAACATTGTTAACATTTGGGAGCTAAATGACAAAACTCAGTTTCACATTATTTGGTTGTTTTAAATATCGTACTAAAGCAAAGCTGCTTTGGTGAAGGCTGACAGATAGTAATTGCATTATATTTTTGCTCATCTACATATTATGGAAGCATATACCAGACAAGTTTTTGGAAAATTTATGACTGAGGTGCATGCAGACAGCATTATGGTTTACATTAACGCTGCCTAATTAGAAGCATCTTTTCATACACGTAAGTGGGACAGGAGGTAAGATTTCTTCCCTCAGAATGGCTTCAACACAACCACACTTTCAAACAAAGATTCCTAAATTATGAGATAGGACAAGGAGGGAGCTTAGAAGTAACCTCCCCGCAAATCCATGGAGTAACGCTGCATGTCAAACTGTTAAGGTACATTCCAGAGATGTGCTGGGAAATCACAAATTTTAGTATAGACCACCCTTAATTCTCCACAGCTGTTAAATACATTTCCATATTCAGATTATTCCTACAAGGATGAGTAATTTCTCTATAGGTGTTTGTGCAGAAAGTAACAGGCAAGTAGAATACACACCCAAGATAATAAAGCAAAAACAAATTAACGTGCATCTGCAATAGGATAAAACTCAGAGCCACAATTCGGCCAAAAGATTTTATTTCCTTTCTGACCCATAGTCCAATTAATCTGAGGTACACAAATAACTGGTGGCATAAAAGGTCTTTAAACAGTTCCTTTTTTTTTCATAAAAAGGAACTGCTCACAGTTAACTATATTTTGACTATACAAGCCGCACTACGTTTATTTCAAGCTTTTTTTCCCCCTTAAACTCAGCACAGCTTGTTAGTACTGTAACTTACTCGTATTTGGTGAATAGATTTATATTTTTCTGGTACTGATAACTCTCCAACAGATCTGATTACAGCTACTGCTTTATTGTCATCTGGCGGATCGGAGCTGGTGCTGTAGGAACCATTTTCATCGCTATCCGGCATTTCTTCTTCCTCTTCACTATAACTTTCATCAGAGTTCCCATTTAAAGGAAACTCTGCACCTTCTTTTTTAGGCTCATCTAACTGGAAGAGTTCTGAGAGCATGTAATTCGCTGAAGCAATAATCTTATTTAAAAAAAAAAAGTATTTTAGAGTATCCCAGTACTGCAAGTTACTAACAAGTTTTTAAATAGGCCACTCAAATAGAAGTTTGCATCTTTCCACTCAGACAAAGAACAAGTTTAGAAAAGGGTCCAATAAATTCACGCACAAGACTGTACAGGTATCTGCAAAATCCTAACCAGTGCATGCAAATAGGCATTAATATGTTTAAAATGTCATAGCCAATTTAAAAAGACTGCCACTACAGTAAAAGAATAATGGTCTGTGGGGGTTTTTTAGTGTATTAATACATTTAAGTTTACAGCTGTTTAGTGAGCAAAACTAAACTACTCTTCCAGGATCACTCTCCCTTAACAACTTTTAGTCATTTTTAATAGTATTTGACTTCTGCCAAGATACAGTCCACGTGGACTGTACAGATATTGATGTTATACATTTTGCACTGTAAAAGTCCTGTAATAAAATAGTTAATATTAGGTTTAAGAAGTGACTCTACAATTGAAAGGTAGTATGACAACAGTTGATCAGAGCAGTATCTGGGGGTGGGGGGAGTGATATGACTTCTGGATTCTATTTCTGACTGCTTTAGACTAGCTGCATGATGATGTTCAACTCAATGTCTCAGTTTATTCATCTACAAAAACAGGCATAATATATTTGATAAGGTTAATTAATATTGTCACACTTTCAAATACTTGGATGAAAGGCACTATTGATATACAAGGTATTATATTCTGATTATCCAAAGGTATTATTCATAAGTGTGAAGATTACTAATGAAGAATACATTTAAATCTGCTTAATTTACAAGAACATCTTCCAACCTTAGCTCCATTATCAAGAAAAATCAAGCTCAAATACATCCATCGCTGCGAACAATAAAACTTTAAATCAGAATTTTAAAGATAAACACACCACTGGTGCACAAAGCAGAAACTGGCTCTGCAGATGTGCGTGACAAAACAACTTACAGGAAACTAAGACATTACAACCCTATAAAGGGTCAAGATCCCAACCAAAGCTAGATTCTGGCTGCAGGCCTTTACTTCTACCTCTCTAATCCAGACCCATCTCTTTCTGTTCAAACTACAGTCTTATTCTCTTTCTCCAACAGCTCCTTGTGGAGGTTGATCCATCAGCTTGAGCTCAATATAGCTAAATAGAGCTCTTAATTTTGCCCCTCCAAACCTTCCCTGCTACCTCCTCTCTCAACCACTGTGGACAACACCATCATTCTACCGGTTATTCAGACCTGTAACCTGGGTGTTATCTTCAAGTCAGACCATTTTCTCAGTCCTCACATGCAGGCTATGTTCAGTACTGCCAGCCGGACGTGATCCAAAAATCGCAAACCAGATCCCCCAAAATCATGAGATTGGCCCCAGAAACCATGAGTATATCATCATACCATGTATTTTGTTATGTCTTGACTTAACTTCCCTTTATTCTTCTGGCACACACACACACACACACACACACACAGCCAGAAGAATAAAGGGAAGTTAAATCAAGACATACCAAAATACATGGTTAGATGATATACTTTTAGGTGAAAAGTCAACCTTTAATGCACACAAAAATGCATGCCTCTTCTTGGCTGCTCAGATGGAGACTCCACTTACTATCTTAGGAGCGAGCAGAGGGTAACAGGGAAACTGCCATATATTTCCTATCTTGACACTCCCTTCTCCTCGGTCTGGATCGCAAGTAGAGAAGTCATCCCAGGCAGTGGGAGACAAGAAAGTGTTGCTGCTGGGTCCGGACTTTCCCCTGACTTCCCGCTCCACTCTCTCTCCAAGGACCATCCTCTCTGCTATAGGGCCATGCAAGGCAGAGCTCAGTGGCAAGACCCATCTGTGTCCTGTGCTCCAAGGCTCTCACACAGCTTTGCCCATGTGCCCAGCCCTGAAAAAAAAATCACAGGATCAGAGGAGCTGCTTGCATCATTGTGAGAGCTCCTCCTGCAGCTGCCAAAATCCCATGACTCATGATCTATTTTCAAGAGCTGGCAACACAACTCTGGCTTCCCCTAGCTGCTCAGACAGGGCTGCCCACACCCATCACTATCCCTCGGCTGAGGGAGCTGCCATTCTATGCTCTCCATCTCTCACCCCATCACGGTTCTCTGAACCCACACTCTGCCTCCCGTTTGTCCCCACAGGCCCAGCATCCCACTCCTACTCATTCTGTCCATCCATCTTGCATAGTGTCTCAGCTGACCTCACAGTCCCCGTGTCCTGTCTAGCTCTCCTGAGCCATAGCACGTCAGCCATTTTGCCTGTCATTGCGGCTTCAGCCTCAGTGAGAACAGTGGCAAGTGTCAGCCAACTTTATTAAGGGCACTTCCCCATGTAGCTAGACTGTAGGGAAACAGAGAACATCTTGCTGGCTACAGCCCCACTGACAGGAACAGAGATGGTGGCCACTTTGAATAAGAAAAAATTAATGAATTGGCAGCCTATCATCATGTTTTCATGGAACAGGTTAAAAAAATCCCAAAATCGCTAGAGTTGCGATAAAAATCACAGGAGCTCACAATACTGCATTTCTAGGGGCATATCTACAGAAACATGTACTGCATGGCAAGCTGAGGTGTTAATCTACAGCACTCTAATAGGGACACACTAGGGAACCTTTAGTGCACCGGAGTAGTGTCCTCACAGTCAGGGCACAACACAGTGGAGTGCTATAGATTTAGAGCACAGTTTTGCATGCAGGAAGTGTTCGTGTAAACATGCCCAACAATATGTCCTTTCTTAACCATCCACGCAGCTAAAGCGCGTGTCCAGGCTCTCCTCATCTCATATCTTGATTACTGCAACACCCTTCATTGTGGGCCTGACAAGTGTAATTGTGCCCAGCTGATATCCATTCGGAACGAGGCTGCAAAGATAATTTTCTCAGCCTGTTGCTTTGACTATGTCATCCCTTTCTTTGGGTCCCTTCTATGGCACCTTCTTTATCATATCAAACAAAGTACTTGTCTTCACTTTCAAGGCCCTTTATGATCTATCCTCACCCAACCTATCTCACATTCAGTATTGAAAGGTCAACTCTCACCTCCAGTTGGGCCCATTCCTCACTTGTTAATATTTCAAACTGGCAACTTCATTCTTTCTGTCATACTGCTCTCAGGCTTCGGAGACGCTCCCCATGAACTCATTATCCTCCTTCAAAACCCTCCTTTCCTGTGTGGCCTAGATTGCTAGTGTGCTGAGAACACAGTCTATTATATTTACTACTACTACTACCACCACCACCACCTCATTGTTCCCTTGTACTCCATCAGTCTGTCTCTATCCATCTGTTGTCTCTGGTCTTATACGTAGATTTTAAACTCTTTGGGGCAGGGACTGGTTTCTTGTTCTGTGTTTTTTGCAGTGCCGAACAGGTTCATGACAGGGATTCTTTGTACAATACTACAAATAAATAATAGGAGACAAATGTAGCATTTTCTCTTATATAACCTTCTGTTTGTTTTTAAAAAAGGTTTTCTGATCATAGCCACACTTGAAGATTAGTTTAATAAAATCCCACATACAGTATATCCAGATTTTTTCAGTGATGTAAATAAGTCCACAACTATGGTGAGGAAAACCCCTGGATATATCAATGGACTTTTTGGCTAATCATCTGGCTTTATAAAAGTTTAATTCACATATTGGTATAAGTCAGCTGCAAACCACTGTGGTGGATGGTAGTATAAAACCCTAGAGAGACAGACTACAAGTTATTTTTGAGGTAATGTATTTATGTACTGTTAGTTATCTCCATTAAAAAAAATTTTTTTTTTAAAGCCAGTGAGTGTTCATGCAAAAAGCTTATATTAGCCCCCATGGTTTATTATATTTTGCACTTTAGTTGTATTTTGTCTGTTCAGCAGTCTAAATACCTCATTTGGAGGAAGGCTGTAAAAAAGTCATTAATAACACTGCTATGAAGTCTCTTGTGAAAAACAGTTTGAAAGTCTCGCCTAATATATCTACTTTTTTTTGCTCTCCTTCTACCTCCACCATATTTAATGGAAATCTTTGAAAACTGAAGCCCTTTATGTATCTATGAAACTGGTACTTCAGGAAATAGTAGTAGCTGTTTTGAGGTCCCAATGCATGAATAAGAGCAACCAGTGTGATGAGAACCAGGAGGTGGAGGAGGTCACCACCTAGGTGCAAGGAGGAGCAACAATGAATTTGGAACTAGAAGTCACTCCCTTCCCCTATGCAAGATTAGGTAAGGAACGGAAGACAGTTCGGGATCCCTTCCCCTCCCCCCCCCGCCCAACACTATGCCAAATACCAAAATACAGATGTAATGAAGTAGACAGTGAAAGCTAACATCATGGCCTTTACCATGGTGATAGATATACCACTTTAAAAGTGATCCATGAGCTGTAATACTATATTTTAAGATTATTTTTATGTCACTTCACAACTCTGATCCATAGCATCCTACTGATAATTTAACTCCCTACGTTCTAAGCTATACACTGGGTCCAGATGACAACCACCATTTGGTTGTTTCATGATCTCCCTTTCACATGTACAGAGTCAATTTTCAGTTGACAACAGTAACAGTCTGAATAAAATGTTTTAAATCTAGGCTAGGAAACTGCCAACATTAAGTGAAAATTTAGAGTAAATATATGAGCTTCAGTGTTAGCTATCTTTCTAGATAATTTTTCTTTGCAAAGTTGATGATGTTTCCTTAAAAATACTGTATTGTGGTCTGCACAATAATACATTTTACTGTCCGCACAGCTGCTTCAGAGACATCACAGTCCATTCTGCAATTCTACATCTGAGCCCAAAAGCCCCTTTAGATTCTCACAATCTAATACATCATTACTTTAGGGAAAAGACTCTGACAGAGGATGCTGAAAGAGACACACAGATCCCATTATCCTCTGCTGCCAGAAGGGAAGCAAGCTCAGGTTTTTCAGCAGGAATACTCAGGGCCAGATTTAAAGCAACAAGTCCAGACCTGCGCACTTCAAGTGCAACGTCCCTGCATGACCTCCCCATAGCCAGTTCTTTCTGGGTTAGGATTGACTCTCCCCAATATAACCAGATTCTGGTTTTGCTTAGAGCAGGGGTCCTCAACACAGTGCCCACGGGTGCCATGGTGCCCGCCGGGGTGTCTAATTGCGCCTGCATACTGGCCGGCGGACAAACATCCGCCGAAATGCCGCCGATAAGCAGCGTCATCCAGAGGCGTCGCTGCTGATTTTCGGCGGCGACGCCTCTGGATGATGATGCTTATCGGCGGCATTTCGGCGGCCATGCCTATTGACGTTGCCACTTGTCGGCAGCATTTCGGCAGATGTTCGTCCGCTGCCACGGTCCTCCGTGGCGCGCCAGACGAAAAAGGTTGGGGACCACTGGCTTAGAGTATGAATAGAAACAGTCTCTACCTCTGAAACCGCAGCTTTATGAAGCAGCATAAGCCTTCTGTGTTCTAGCTTCAGACATTTCTACTGCCTTTCCTACTGCTGCTGAATATGTAAGATGCCAATCAATCAGCAACTTGAGAGGCACCACAGTCTAGTGTTTAGGAGTCAGGACATTTGGGTTCTATTCCTGGCTCTGCCATGCAAGTCTGTCTCCCCCTCCTACCTTCTGGCTGTCTTGTCTATTTAGATTAGATGCTCTTCAGGGCAGAGACTGGTTTCTTAATATGTGTTTGTACATGTTAAGCATGAAAGAGCCTTGATCTTGATTACAGAACTTTCCCCCAAAGAAAAGTTAATATGAAGTTTTAATTTAATCATAAGGAGGGATTTTAGATCCACACTGGTGATTTGATCTTCAAAATAAGAAAAGTGAGGTTCCGGCTAAAAAAAAAAAAAAGAAGATCATGCAGGCACATTTCAATTGTCACTTTTCAGTCCAGAGAACTTTTATAACCAAGGCCCACTGTCACTGCATTCTAGTATAATTTGTTCAAAGTAAATCTTAATTGTGACCCTTTAGAGGATGAGATGAGCCCATTAACACTTGCAATCACATTGTAGTTAATATAGCATTTGGTTACCTTATTAGTGCTTTTAGTTGAAGGTAGAACATCAACATCTGTATTTTCATTATATATAAGCCACACATCTCTCTGCACTAAAAATAAATGTATTAAAATAGAATTCTTACTTGTGGATGTCTGGCTTTATCCAATAACTTAACACAATTAAGGAGCAATGTTCTAATGGTGCCATAGTGTTTCTTGTTCTGGTTTTTTTTCATCATCATATTGCAGGCAACTCTAAAAGAAAGTTGAACAAAATAGACGCAGAAATGTCACTGAAATGTCTATTATAATTGTTTTATTTTTATTTTCTGCACAACTAAGAATTCTACAAATCCCATCTTTTTGAGCAGGCTTCTAGAGAAGGACTCAGGTGACCGAGAAATCTGAGGAATGGCAAGACTCTGATTCAGTTAATACCATGATTTGGTTGGCTGATTGTTGTACATATAAGGGGAATGTGGTGATGTTTTGGTTTTATGATTTTTGGATTGTATTTTTTAAACTGATGGCCAGAGTACCTAAGTGCCCAAGACAGACACTTAATGACTTAGATTTAAATGTAAGTAAATAAAATATTGCAACAGAGTTTTGCTTCAGTAAGACACACTTACTTGTACAAGAGAATTGCCACTGGCATTGTGAAAGGGTTTTGGTATTTATCTTCGGTTTCTTCACAAAGAGTGGTGAGGTCATAGAGCTTTACTATATCGCTTCCACTTGCTAAAAGAGAAGATTTTTCCATTAGCCAACCTGACAATATATAGGTCTCAAACATTACTTATTATCCCAACCAAGGAATTGCTTACCTTTAAATAGCCAGTAAGTATGTCCTTCTTTGGTGCAGTTAGATTTCAGAAAAGATAAGATATTTTGAGCAATATCCTTTATCACTTTGGTAGAAAAATTGGAGTTTTCCAAATTGGGAATATCTTCAGTCTTGATCATTTCATATTTCTGTATAGAATGTATTTTAAACACATTTTGAAAAATCCTCATAATATATACTAAGGTTGGCTATACAAACAGAGAAGCCTTTCATAATCTATTAAACTGAAAACAGGAGTTCCATTATTATGTTTGCTAATACTGAAAGCCCTCAAATTACGAGCTATGAATTTAGTGCTGCATCCAATTGTGTTTGTGTAATTTTACTACTTATACCCTTTGTACTGTAAATTGCTTCGTGTAGAATTATTTTAATAAAAGGACTTGTCAGGGCCAAACAAAGAGAAAGTCTGTGGTCTGGCATTTAAACACACAGTAATCTCAATAAAATGATGCAGAATGAATGTGGTTATGCTGAACAGATTAACTGTAAACAGTATAGTCTAGCCAATTAACAACTCTGTTGCCTCAATATATATTAGTAATTTAAATAAAGTCTGTACTGACTGGATGGCAGATCCATACTTTTACTACACACTAGTTTATAACCACATTTCTGTATTTTCTTTACAAATTTCAAGACTGCTGTATAATTTAAGATTTTTCAAATCTGCAAAATTAAGTTTACAGAGAGTTTGGAGTTGTACACTTCTTAAAATTTGGAGGTAGTTATAAGATACACCTAAAAATATCAACAAATGATAGTTCAAAATGGAAATGCTGACACTTGGCCCTTTCATGCTTTCAGAGCACTTCACACAACAGGCTTCAACCTAGCTGGCTTCTAGGTGCTACCACAATATATATCCTAAATACAAAGATTATATGAAAAGAATGTTGTTTAGATTACAAAGTCAAGCACTCAAAAGTTAAAAAAAATAAATAAATCCAAGAGTTACAGTTGCCCAGGCATCCTTAATTCTACCTCCTTGTGCATCCAGCTGTACACTAAATGAGGCAGGAGTCCTGTGGAAACAAACTACATATGCAATCATGTAATTAAAGACACTATCATAATACACAACAAGAAGAGAGAATAAAGTTTCATCTGTAAATCTGGAATTTCCTAACTTTGAAGTGCTTGACTTTTCAACATAGATAACATTCTTTTAATGTCTGATTTCCTAGGTGTGTGTGTTAGTAAGGAAACAAAGCAAACTAAGGCCTGGTCTACACTGGAGGGGGTGAAAGGGGGTGGAATTGATCTAAGTTACCGTGGTGTCTTCACTACGGTGAGTCGACTGCTGCCGCTCCCCCATCGACTCTGCCTGCGCCTCTCGCCGAGCTGGAGTACAGGAGTCAACGGGAGAGCGCTCGGGGCTTGATTTATCGCATCTAGACTAGACGTGATAAATCGATCCCCGCTGGATCAATCGCTGCCCACCAATCCGGCAGGTAGTGAAGACATACCCTAAATGTCCCCTTCATGCATCTTCAGCAGGGCTTGAATTCTGAATACCTTCAGCACTGAATCACATAGTGCTGTACTTCAAATGGTAGAAGTACGTACATTAGCTGGCAGCAGCAGGCGGCTGTTAACCTATTTTCAGGTGGTGGGGGAAGAAGGGCCTCTTTTTATCAGTTCAGCCAAATGTGAAGAGAATTTCATGGAACTAACAAGAGTGATATCTCTAGCCCCAGGACTTTGTTTGCAGTCAGCCTTTAAAATGTGGGAGGGACAAACAATGGAGGTATTACAGGTTCTCAAAAAAAGGTTGATAAGAGCTTTTCTAGTGCAATGTTGCTACCAGTTCCCACATACCAACTTCATTGTTATGAATGGATAAGTTGAATTAATGAAAGAATTGGTAAAGTGGACATAATGTAAGACATCAGGACTTACCTGAACAATGCCATTAACATGAAAACACATCACAAGCTCTGGGACGTTACATATTAAGTTGTCCAACCAATAGTCAATTCCTGTCAACACGTTTATTGGCTTGTTGTTATCCCTACAACAAAAATATTTCTGGTATTGCTTGGAGCAAATAAAGATTTTTTTTTAAGTCATCAGGGTACATCTAATAGAGGTTTTGTTTGTTTAAAATCACCAGTTATGATAAATGTCTGTTGAAAGCTTAGCTATGTGTGTCAGTACAAGGAGAACAGAGCAACCTTAAAATTGAGGTAAAAAAGCTTTCATTTGTGACAAAGGTTATATTTTAAAGTAGCACATGGGGGAGCTATACTAACCACTGTGTTGATACTAGCATCTGTTACTGCTAATGGAATGCATGCACATTACTGCCCTCACCACTTTAAAATTACAGCCCACCTTATTACTGAGATCACCCATAATTTTTCCCCTAAAAAAAGTGTTTAGAAAACTAAGGGATTCATAGAATTAGCTGGAACCAAGCACATTTCAAACTTTTTTTTACACAGTTCTTCCAAGGCACCTCAGTTCTGGGCTGCATTTACAGTGTCCAGCTATGTGAATCCTGGGTGTCTTTTGAACAAAGATGGCCCAAACTGGCTTCAACTTTTTAAGCTTGCCTCCATCTTCCCCACCCTATAAAAGGTATTCTTGTCTTTCCTCCCACCCTTGCTGTGGGAGACCAGGCTCCTTCACCTCTGTATGGGCAAAAAGAACCCACAGCAAGAACAAAAGAATCAGAGAACAGAGTAATCACAACATCAAGTAGATATTTTCAGCTATTTATGGACAGTAATCAGTAACTATATTTTGCATGGCATCCAACACTTAAGCATTTGAGCATCTCACAAATATTAATATATTTATCCTTACAACATCTGCGAAAAGTAGAGAAGCGATACTCCCATTCTACAAATTGGGGATTAGAGCAGAGATTAAGGACCCTGATTTTCAGAAGTGTTGAACACCTACAACTCCAATAAAGGCAATGGGTTGCAGATAGATGGCACCTCCAAAAATCAGGCCCTAAGTGTTTTGCCGAAAGTTACACAAGAAGTCTGAGGATGAGCCAGAAAGAGAACCAAGACATCCTGAATCCCAATTCAGTGCCTTAAACACAGAAACACCCTTCTAATACCTTATGAAATCATTACCATATCAATACTAGAGTATAAAATTAATCTTTAAATGCAGATTAAGAAATACATTATCCTACAAAATTATATATATACACACACAACTGAATATGAAACTGAAGCAACAAATGAGCCACGTTTGGGATGCACATCACATTAGTTTAAGAATTCACCTGAGACGCAAGCTCACAGCAGGGTATCTTCCACCTCCAAATATAGGCATATTTGATCCTACTAACATGTGAATATCTTCAAAGGTCCACAAGATGTTCCGAACAAAGTCATTTTTAAGTCCCTTTGTTTAAAAAAAGAAAGGGTCTATAAATAATCCACTCTGTTAATTTTTTCTCAATCACAATCCGCAGAATTACTATGAGAAAGCAAAATGCAAAAAAGGCAAATAAAGAACAGCACATAAAGACTATGCTAGGTGTTCACAGTAACTTAAAAGACCAAGATTACAGATGACAAGAGCTATTTCTACAAAAGGATTTAATTTTTCTTCCCTCACCACCAACCCGAATCCAATTTAGACCAAATTTAAAACGATTTGTTAAACTGGGGATTGTGTTTCCACTCAGATTCCACATAAAGCATACCTGACTGTTTTCCCCGTCATTGAACAAAGTACTCAGGTTTTGTTCTTTGGGGGCTGAGGCCACATGCCCCACTACATATGAGGATTCAAGAGGCACACTTCCCTGTGAAAAGCACAAGGACATAAGGAGTGATTCTGTTGCTGAGGTCAAGTAGGCCATTTTCAAAAGTGTATATATATCCTGAACATTAGAAGCATAAAAAGTGAAAACCTTAATTCCAACTTTATTTTAATGTGTACAACCTTCTTCAGCCAGTGGCTTACTTCAGTTTTTTCTTACTGTAGCTACTGCATTGGAATTCTAGTATAATTTGTTCAGTGTAAATCTTAATTGTGACACCTTTACCAATGCAATCTAGATTCTATGTGGTGATCTAGAGCAGAGAATCTTCATAATTCTTTATCAACCATCTGTGTCATCTAGTGTCCCTATCAGTGGTAGTGTCTTCACAAAGGTGGGTGATCATTACCATCTGAATGTAAATAGAATGCTGGAATTTTTTAAATGTATTAGACTTACATTAATTATGAGGCTACTCTACACGCACAACAATACTACTTTTCATAATGTATTTAAACATCCATTGCATAGACTGAACTCTTAAAATGTTGTACAAAGTCCCTTTAACTTCAGAGAACCTTAATATTCAACTCTACTGTCTGATAACAAGATAAAGAAAGAAAAACCTGGCTCCTATGTTGCACACATGTTTTCAGCCACAAGTCAGTCTCATTTTGGCCCCTTTGTGAGCATTTATACTGAGGTCTGGAGCAATACTAACCAATCAAAATGCACATGTAATTGCTTGTATTATATTGTAGGAGTTCAGTAGAACCGCTTCTACTCGGGGGAGCCAATGCCATATGATCTCTGCTTACTTTGATATATAATCACAAAATAGATATTTGCATATGATGTTTGAATGGCTTAGAGATTAACATCATCTTTCTGGATGCCTAACTTTCTCTCGTTTTCATTAGCGTAAAGTCTACTACACTTAATAAATTCGCGGCCATAATGCAGAAAATTCCAGATAAGTTCGATAAATACATTCTGAATGACTGATTTAAATCCCTGTCTACATACACTCTTGATGAGCATCAAGATTTTCTGTTCTTTAACATAAATACAGTTTGATCAAGATTTTGCTTCAGTAAATCTGGATGTTTTCTTCAACATCAATAAATACTGGAATAATATTAACATGCACTGTGAGAAGACAAAGAATTCTGAAATTCTTCCAGATTCTAGGTTCATCCACTTCAGCCCACGTCAATGCTACAAAAGAGGATGACCACCACACCTTAGCACATCCTCACAGTACCAGAAAAAAGGCTAAAATAGAAGTTCAGTGGAAACAACACAGGAAACAGCCATCTTTTTTCAGTACGACTGTTAAAGAAACAACAATTGTCAAAACGCAGTTCCTTTAAGATGGTCATTGACTAAAACCAACAAAGAGCAAAAATGTGCAAATATGATTTTTCACACTAACTCAGTACTGCAACACAATGTATGAAAAATCACTTTTCTCAGACCCTCCCATACTTTTGTTTTCTAGGAGCAGGCAGGCCATTCAAGTTAAAAATATAGACATATAAATATATTCCAGTTTTTTATGATCAAGTATACTAAAATGGAGCTACAAATGGAAGGCAACTGCTCATTCTGGAATGACCCAACATTAGAATTATATATAGAAAACACATTAATCCTATTTAAGGAAAATCAACTATAGGCAAAATTAGTTTTTGATGGCTTTCTGTATACAGCTCATAAAGCATTAGGTATCATACATTACTGCTCAAAGAAAGTCAAAAATGGTGCTTTTAGAGTCTAGCTGAGCAAGGCTTCTTCTACCCGTTAGATTCTGCTTCTTTGGATAAAAGGAGGAATCTTGACTACTACATGTTTATAGCTTATATTAGGCACCAAATACCGCTCTCCTATAAAAATTAAGGTTTGTTAAGATTTAATCCATACTAACCTGATTAGAAGAACCTGGATCTTCAGATACTGAAGAAGGCATTTCAAAAGGGGCTGGCCAGGAAGCCCTTCCTGCTTCATCACTCTCATCAGGAGCTGGATCTTCAGGATGTTGTTCTGCAGAGGAAGGAACTGGCTGAGCAGCTCCATCACCATTAATGCTGACAAAGACAAATTCAAAGAGATTAAATATCATAACAAAATCTCAAATTCAATGTCTAATCAATATTTACTGCATTTTATTTTCACAAAAAAGGAGACAGAGATGCTGATTTAGTTATAAAACTACTCAGCAATACCCATCTTGTAAATTCATCAGTTAGAGCAGAAAGATGGGTATCCAGGCTCATGTTAAAATCCTTGAAAATTATGTGTTTTTCCAGAGAGCAGTACTGCAATGTGTTTTCAGCTAATCATGCTTAGATACTAAAATATTTTAAATAAAGAACTTACTTGCATCAGTGTTATATTCTTAAAACTACATCCTCTCTGGATTTTGTTTTAGGATAAAGAGACAATTTCATATCTTTAACTTTTATTTCAATATAATGAACAAGAGAAAAGTAAATTGGGGTAGAACTCACAAGTTATGCAAATAAAATTAATATAATCAAACTACCTGTAATATAAAAACTTGGAAAGTATGGCCTTCTGGTACCAGTGTTCTTTACTCTTCTTCTTTCTTTGCCACTTCTGATCTATTAGTCTTTGATAGAACTCTTTTAGCCACGTCCAGTCCCCTGTCTAAGCATCATAAATAAGCATGAAATTAATGTGAAACACCACATAAACAAAAGAATCTAAGTTAAGCATTTAGCAGATACAGTATACCCATCCAACACGAAATGGCACAAAATAAAAGAAAATCTGTTAAAAGATAAGTTTTCACAAAAGTGTCTTGACAGCTGAACTCTGCAGTCAGAACTCAGTTATACTTAACATATTTCAGTGAAATCTACTCTTCAAAAAACAGATTATAGTTTCACGCAGTGTTAAAAGACTGAGTAATATATTTGTAAAGCTGTCCAGCAATATCAAAGACATTAAATGAAAAGGTGAGAAGGGGTATTTTAAGCACACAATGCCCTCAGTTAAAAAGATGTCTGATCTGCTAGTGCAACTTGTAGTTCTATAGCAACCAGAGAGAATCCACAATAAGGTTTTGTGAACACCTTTTTGTCTTTGTACACCTCTACCCCGACATAACGCGACCCAATATAACATGAATTCGGATATAACGCGGTAAAGCAGTGCTCCGGGGGGGTGGGGGGGGGAGGGGAGAAGAGAGCGGGGCTGCGCACTCCGGTGGATCAATGCAAGTTCGATATAACATGGTTTCACCTATAATGCGGTAAGATTTTTTGGCTCCCGAGGACAGCATTATATCGGGGTAGAGGTTTATACAATTCTCAGCAATTTTTCTACATTTGCTATACCTTTGTGTTGACAACACCGCACTTGAATTTATATATATATATATATATATATATATATATATATATATATATATATATATATATATATATATATATATATATATATATATATATA